TGCTACTATATGCCAGATAACACGTATCATTTACGTATCTGATTGACGACTAGCCTTAATTGAAAGTTCTTTCTCGTCATCGGGTGGGGTAATTAACTATAGGGGCTTGCGCCTATAGGAAACCATAACTCAGATCATAAAATCCTCGCAAAATGAGGGCGAAATCTCTGGGTAGTGTCTTATCTACAAATCCATCTGCCTTTCAAAATTTACCCCGGAATTTATTCCGTTAAAACTCCCCTCGCCAAAGAAAAAAGCAAAAAACAGTCATGCGCTGTGGGGAGGCCGGGGCCGAATTTTCGGAGCCCACAATCATCCACACAAGGAGACTTCATGGCAGAGACTTGATGGTGGATCAAAATTTAAGGAGTTGCTAAAAATTTTTTAATTCAAAGAAATATGGACTAAAAGAGTGGCCAAACTTTGCCCAACTTAATCTTACAATGATTTTAAAGAAGCTTGAAATATTGAATAGAGGGTAGCAAAAAATATTGCTTTAGATGGTTTATAATTGAGAGAAAAAAATAAGAAGAAAAAAAAGACATTTAAATACCTGAGATAAAATATCGAAGGTCTAAATTTGTTGACCAAGTTAGATGTTTTAAAATTAAGTTTCAGAGAATCTTGATTAAATATGAATATATTAGGGAAATATGAAAGAATTATTTGAAGGTATTAAATGAGAATTTTAAAGGCAATTTATTTAGAAGAGCATAAGGAATAGAATAATGAAATATATTATAAACTGATTGAAAAAAATGAAAGTGGTTGATTTAGGTTTGAAGATGACTCCTAATGGTAAACTTTTAGGTACAAATGAATACTTAATGAATTGATATATTAGCACTTTGGTTGGCATGATTTAGAGTGGTATGTAAGAAAAAAGTCATTGGTTGTCAAGTGTGGATGTGATGAGAATATTAAGATGGATATGTGTGAAAACCAAAAATATATATATTGAAATGTGATTATTTTAGAAGGATTGTAGGAGTAGCTATTGTCGGACAAAAGAAGATGAAAATAGACTAACTTGCTTTGATGAAGGGTTGAAGATACACCAGTAAGACAAGATAAGATTAATGCTAACAAATTAGGATTTTAACTGATAGAACAAAGGTAACATGGCTAGAAGTGTGCAAAAGGATTTGCATTAGATAGAGTTCACATGTCTCATGCAACATTTAATAAAAATGGATAGAAAATGGGTAATGATAAAGTTGACATCATTTGATGGTGATGCTGATGACAATGATGATGATTGAAGGAATTTGAGATATCAGGTGATAGGTTAGTTTTACCTGCAATTTAATCATCTGCTAGAGCCCTTAAACCCTCCCTTATTTTCCTGTATACCAATGCATTTTCCATTTTTCTACAATATTACCTACGAAACTTGTGATACAATGCTATATGAAATTAAAAATTTCTCATTAAAAAATGAAGATATTGAGGTGTGCAGGGTACACTTAAGGCAATTTTGTATCTATGATAATGTTTTTTTACATTGACTTCCAGGTTCAACTTCAAATGTAACTTTATTCACTGCATCTGATAGCCTACTCAACTAGTGATAAATATATTAGATTGCTGCTATATTTTCTCTGGATCTTAAGCAAATGATCTCATCTAGAGCCACAGGCCATGTCATCTTTTGAATGTTCTTTTGTCGTCTCATTACATATTTTCTCTGGATCTTTTTAGCTTTTGCATGCTGGTAACTTTTTCATGCAACTATTAATTTAACTTATAGTTAATGCTTAAAAATTGATTACACTATCTTAAAACACAATATTGTTTAAAAAATTTGTTCCCAAAAGAGACCTAAATTTAAGTGGAAGACATGATGGTGAGGTGCGTATTACGAGTATTAGGGGTTTTAAAATTGCCCTAAGGCATTAGGTACTAGGCTTTGCATGAAGCATTGCTTACTGTAGGAACTTGGTTGCAATGGAGATTTTCATTGATAAAGCTGCTAAATTTTTAGAATCAAATGTGAAATTGTTATGGATTATCAGCTCAATGAGGCCTTCAAAATTATTGGGTTGTCTATAGCCAAGTACAATGGTTGTGGTTTTGACTAGTCACAAGATTTTGAGCTTGTCTAAGCGCCATTCTTTGTTACACTAGCCAAATTTGGGGCTTCTTTTCGTCATGATATTTGTGTTGACAAACTATGATGTGAACATGGTGTTGAAAATCCATAGTGAGAATTTGTTGATTACGAAGCAATTGACCCTTTTTTGTAGGATATGTGATCAGGCTACTGTGCAAAAAACAAAATTGGATTTGATTGCTTTCTAAAAGAGCTTTATATGTGCTGTGAACTACCAAATGGGTTAAATGTCCATTTTTAATGCGTTAATTTGTAGAAACTTGTTTTCTTATTTCTTAACTAGTGTTTTGTTACGATCGAAAATGGAAATCAGAAGTTGCAATGACAGTTTGTGTATTCAATTGTGCCTCATTATTTTTGGTGTAAAATAGGGGGAAACATGTAGACTTATGAATGAGTATTTTATAAAACCTCCTTATGATGATCTTGGGGCATCGACATCAGTCTTTTGGATTGTAGTTTTATGTAGACTGGTCAGCATATCCCGTGTATTGTTGTACATGTTAGATTGAGATTAACCAAAAATGATGTATCATTTCCTGCACTTGTGGTAGATGTCTTAGTTGGTTTTTCCTGTTAATTGTTTCTCAGATTCTCTCGTGTTATTTGTTACTTGATGATAGCATGCTATGTTCTAATTGCCTCAAAATTTCATGTTATACGGAGATATTCTGTCTTATTTTAACTGAAATTTTAAAGGAAAATTGCAAAACCTGTTTATAACAAATGGCTTTCATTTTTTTTTTCCAAAAAGAAAAAAAAAAAGAATGAACATATTTATTTTGAGCGTTAAGGTAATTTTTGCTGTTGAGGTTTTTAATGCTCTTTTGAAATTTACAAATGACCCTTAAAGAAATAAGTACACAATTTTTTATGATTTAATCAACAAATGGGTCTTTAGTCATTAGATAATTAATCATCATTGCTAGCCTTATTCCGAGCTTCCAATTATTTGAGTCGGCTTCATGAATCCCCATTTTCTATTTGTTCTTGCTTAGTGATGCCGAAGGAGTTAAATCTATTATTAACAAATTATTTTGAACAACTTGTAGCCATCTAATCATAGGCATATCCCTTTACCTTTCTAATTCTCTAGTAGTAATCTTATCTATTTAACTAATTAGTGCATTCTCTACCCTTTGTTGTATATGTCAAAACTACCAAAAACTTGTTAATTTTCTTTTCATTTATATATTGATTTACACTATTAAATTACTTAGTATACTATTGTTTATCAAATTACAATTGCGGATTGAAGGATAATGAAAAGGTTCCCATTGTCAAACTAAAATTAGGACGGGAAAGGTTGAGGCTTGATGATTGGTTAATATTTGATTGAAGAAATTCTGCTTAGATCTTTGAAACTACTCCAAATTTGATGTTTGCTAGTATGAGGGCATGTTCTACAAGCTAATCACCACAGTTTATTCTTTTATGGTGAGCAGGAAGGCTTTCCTAGGATGCAACCTTCAAATTACATGCGATAAGTTAACCTGATTGTGGTGAGAAGTGTGTGAAGGTTTATGAGTTAAATGAATGTACAGCCTCTTGTAGGATGTGCATATGCTAGGAGAAAATAGATGGCGGGTGCGATAATAGGATATAGAAATTTGCTGGGAGAAGTTGGACTTAATTTATGAGTGATATGTGATCCTGCAATAGCAACCATATATTTTAAAAATGAGAAGTGAATTTAGTTATATTATATATATATATACTTTGAAGAAAAGAAGATTATTTTTTTTTTCAAAAACTTTTTGGTGTTTCTAGAAGAAATTTTGACCATACCGCATTGAATAGTAATTATAGGTGTTTATCTTAGAAGTTGAAGGAAATCAATAAAAAGATATGATTGACTTGTGATAAATTTATGAAACTTGAAAGGTGAGCACTTATTAATTATTTGAGATATATTGCTAAGCGATAAAAATTTGAATTTTATGGTTCAACCTAACTTATATGGTAGTAGATTGCTAGTTGAATCAAGAAGATTGTATAAAGATTTTAAAATGCTTAGAAGTAGATGATCCATACAAGGAAACTTCATGACAGAGACTTGATGGTGGATCAAAATTTGAGGTACAAAAATTTTTTTAATTCAAAGAAATATGTACAAAAAGAGTGGTCAAAATTAATACAACTTAGTCTTACAATGATTATAAAGAAGCTAGAAATCTTGAATAGTGGGTAACCCTACATATTGCTTTAGATTGTTTATAATTGAGAGAAAAAAATAAGATGAAAAAAAGACATAAAAATACCTGAGATAAAATATCGAAGGTCTAAATGTGTTGATCAAGTTAGATGTATTAAAATTAAGGATCATAGAATCTTGATTAAATATGAATATATTAGGGAAATATGAAAGAATTATTTGAAGGTATTAAATGATAATTTTAAAGGCAATTCATTTAGAAGGGCATAAGGAATAGAACAATGAAATATATTATAAACTGATTAAAAAAAATGAAAGTGGTTGATTTTGGTTTGAAGATGACTCATAATGGTAAAGTTCTAGGTACAAATGAATACTTAATGAAATTTATAGAGTGGTAAGATATATTAGCACTTTAGTTGGCATGATTTAGAGTGGTATGTACGAAAAAAGTCATTGGTTGTCAAGTGTGGATGGGATGAGAATATTAATATGGATATTTGTGAAAACCAAAAAAAGATATATTGAAATGTGATTATTTTAGAGGGATTGTAGGAGTGGTGCACTTGTTGGACAGATGTGATAACCGGTTCTTCCGGCCGGTTCAACCGAACCGGCCGACCCGCC